TAGGGGCTTGGCCATCTAGCGAGTAGAGCCTGAAGCGCGAGAGATGTAAAACGCCACACATATACCTAAATTCCAAAGATTTCGAGTGAAAAATTCCTCAAGTTTAAAAAAACACATTTTTTGCGATACTTGATCACGTGTTACTCAGCTATTGGTGCATTATTTGTAACTTACCAGGGCTCGAATTTGACCTTGAAGCGTGCACTTTTAAATAAGAGACATAAACGTTAGCTGCTTGGCAAGAGCGGTATTGTTGATCTAAGCATAGACGTTTTTGTACACCCGAGTGACAGTGATTCTTTCTCGGCACTTGCCCTAAATGGTAACGTTGAATATTATTTTCTCGAAGCAATCATAGATGTCGACAGATATGCATGGCACCCAGACTTCTCCCCTATAAGTAAAGAAAGGGAAGCCGAGGGAGAGCCTGACAGAGCTTGTTTACGTTTTTGAGCGTATCTTCTGCTATGCCGTCGAGACACGGAATAGTGTGATTTTTGGTGCCGGCATTATGAGTATAAGACTCGTTCTCCAGCTGTAGTTGTACCCCGCGGTATTATTAATGTAATTAATGAACTATAGCTGCACGATAGAGTCCTGACGGCTTACATAAAACAATGCTACATTAGTACAATAATCTGCAATTAATAATCAAGTTTAATTAACTCCTGAGCAAGAGTGTGCTCGTTGTAAGTAAATGGCTGTTTTTATTTGTTTACATTAATTTATCTCGCAAACGAGATGAACTTAGGGGTATCAAAATCTCGCACTTATTTTCTGATCCTGTAGATTGATTGAAAATATCAGCTCATACCAGATGAGCAGGATTCCTCAAAGATTCCTTGTTAAATCCTGAATTGTATGTTACGTGCTTGTCAAGATTAAAACAGATGGTTTTCGATGCTTATTTTTTTTTCATAAAGTCTAAAAGACATTAATTTAGTGGAAGTGTGGGGAAGCAGCAAAGTTTCAGATAAGTGCCACAAATTCTTGATCTTTTACATAATATATATTGGATACAAGAAATCCGATACTTTGTGGTTTTTTTTGTATTTGTTTCCAGAATATGACTTTTTTAAAGGAATATCCAACAGTACCAAACATGACCAAAGGATGACAGCAATGGGGTATCGGGCAACAAGCAGCTGGTCAACAAAAGGAACAATCTTCTGGCAGTAAAGTGCTTGTACTCGTCGGATGTGGTGTTTCCACCAAGTTCTCTTTACTAGTCAGGTCAACTGTAAGAAATTCATGCAAAGGGCCTGAGTGTTAATGCCCCAGTAGCTTCCAGTAGCTTTGTAAGCAAAAATCGTGTAAAAGTCTGTATCTGGGTAAGCTAGTTCAAGTACTCTGTTTTTTTCGAGCAAATTGATAATTAATTTTACACCTTTCCAACATGGAAATTCATAACTGTCACAATTTATTACTTTCAAAGTAATAGTTTCACAGGTATACTAATTGTGAAAGTATGAAAATAAGATTACCCAATTTTGAAAAGATGAATTTTAAAGAGAAATACTTTTTTAATTCCTTCCTTTAAAATACCAGCCCTGTGAGTCCTGCTGTCATACCAACTAAAATAAGATCTTTACAGTAAGCGATCACAGCAACTGCAGCCAAGATGGATATAATTATTTCATGGGCACGTTGAAAAGTAGTATCAGAGCACTGAATAAACTTGTAATATCAAGACAATGAAGCGCAATGTGTTTTGTAAGCTGCCAGTACAATAACTTAGGATCATCCACAACCTTACAATTCACCGTATAAGCCAGTTTTGGGCATTCAACGGTGCAGATGAGTATGCACAAGCGAATGCCCAAAACAGGCTTATACAGTGATTTGTGAGGTTGTGGGTGATTTTAAGATAATCTGTTTGCAGCTTACAAAAACCATTGCGCATTGTTGTCTCAACATTGCAAGTTGATTGAGCGCTTTGGAACTATTTTTTAACGTGCCTATAAAATATTATACCTACCTTGGCTGGAGCTTCTGTCAACACTCCCTGCAAAGATCTAATTTTGAGTGTGACAGTGTATCGTGCTGGGTACTCCTTCAAAATAGTGATGATCTGCAAATACTTCAATACTCATACACCAATCATCGTTGGCTTTCCTAAGCCATGGGGTCCTTTTCGAATGCCATCGATATTTCTTCCTTAGCCTTGCACTACCTAAAAGGCACACACAAGTATGGAAGTTAAGTATTAACAACGGTAACAGGCTATTTTTATTAAAATTCTGCCAATGATACGTGCATTTTCATGATTAAAATGCCAGGAGTACAAAAGCATGCTGTTATTGTGAAAAAAGCAAAAAAAAAACAGAGTAATACACTAGCTTACCCAGATACAGACTTTTACACGATTTTTGCTTACAAAGCTACTGGAAGTTACTGGGGCATTAACACTCAGGCCCTTTGCATGAATTTCTTACAGTTGACCTGACTAGTAAAGAGAACTTGGTGGAAACACCACATCCGACGAGTACAAGCACTTTACTGCCAGAAGATTGTTCCTTTTGTTGACCAGCTGCTTGTTGCCCGATACCCCATTCCTGTCATCCTTTGGTCATGTTTAGTACTGTTGGATATTCCTTTAAAAAAGTCATATTCTGGAAACAAATACAAAAAAAACCACAAAGTGTCGGATTTCTTGTATCCAATATATATTATGTAAAAGATCAAGAATTTGTGGCACTTATCTGAAACTTTGCTGCTTCCCCACACTTCCACTAAATTAATGTCTTTTAGACTTTATGAAAAAAAAAAAAATAAGCATCGAAAACCATCTGTTTTAATCTTGACAAGCACGTAACATACAATTCAGGATTTAACAAGGAATCTTTGAGGAATCCTGCTCATCTGGTATGAGCTGATATTTTCAATCAATCTACAGGATCAGAAAATAAGTGCGAGATTTTGATACCCCTAAGTTCATCTCGTTTGCGAGATAAATTAATGTAAACAAATAAAAACAGCCATTTACTTACAACGAGCACACTCTTGCTCAGGAGTTAATTAAACTTGATTATTAATTGCAGATGATTGTACTAATGTAGCATTGTTTTATGTAAGCCGTCAGGACTCTATCGTGCAGCTATAGTTCATTAATTACATTAATAATACCGCGGGGTACAACTACAGCTGGAGAACGAGTCTTATACTCATAATGCCGGCACCAAAAATCACACTATTACGTGTCTCGACGGCATAGCAGAAGATACGCTCAAAAACGTAAACAAGCTCTGTCAGGCTCTCCCTCGGCTTCCCTTTCTTTACTTATAGGGGAGAAATCTGGGTGCCATGCATATCTGTCGACATCTATGATTGCTTCGAGAAAATAATATTCAACGTTACCATTTAGGGCAAGTGCCGAGAAAGAATCACTGTCACTCGGGTGTACCTACCATCCATGAATGCGTATACTTGAAGGAGAGGAAAATCAACAGGGAAAATCAATTCGCCTGCAATTTTTTTGCACCATCTTGTTTAAAATGTGCCACTGTATGGGAAAGTACAGTTCGCCAGGTGGAAATGCGGTTAGAAATTGTTTAAACACTTTTTTTTCTAACAAATTATAAAAAATCAATAAATTCGTAAGAAAAAAATTTTTTTTGTACTGCTGTGATCAAAACTAACAAATTTCTCAACAGATTTTTCTCGAAAGTTAATAAATTTTGAGTGAAAAACTCTTGAAATTCCAAAAAACACGGATTTAGCTATTTGTAGGTTTCTAAAGCAGTATCATGGAAATGTTTTTCTATGTACAAAAAATTTGAACGTCTTCTTTGAAGCTTAAAATACAATATACAATATACAATCAATACAATTTCTCATTATTCACCCCAAGAATTTTTTTTTAAGTTTAGATATTTTTTGCGCGCGATGGCTTGCCGGCTAAAAGAGATACGTGTATTTACTTATGCGTTATTTATATTTAACCATGCTAAATAAATTTATTAATTTTTCATCTATTTAGATGAGTGTAAGTGTGTACATAACTATTTGAATCTCCATGAATATACTTTTAAGGAACATACGATTCATAACGTATATTCGGTGAAGTACATGACGAATAAAATGAAATAAAACTAGGCATATGAATAATGTAAGTGAAAAAATTATATTTGTCGAACAAATTTTACAATAGAATCACATTACTTTTTCAACTTATACATTTTTACAGAAGTCGAGATCACAACTGGATATAGGTATACAAGTAACGTTATTTTTTTTACAGTCATATGCTTTTGTATAACATGATTTTTTACAATTACATGTTTTCATTAAGCCATTTGGCAAAGGGTTTCTTGTCATAAATACAGGTACTAGTGTTCAGATCATAGAGATATAAGCATAGAGTGAACAAGAGGCCTGATGTCACGATAGAGCCAACAAGAGAGATTGCTGCCCGATAGTTACCTCTGTCTCTTTCTAGCCAACCACTGTGATTAGTTTTAAAATACCTATAGGTACCTTTATTGTCTGCAAGAGAGGAGTGAAAAGTCAGACGTCCAGTAGACGACAGCCAATCAATGCTTATATCAATGCTTATATCTCTATGGTTCAGATACTTGTTAAATTCAGATACTTGTAACCAAATTGTGTTAGATCTAGTTGAATGTACATGGAATGTAATGCATTTTGATTGTATATTGTATTTTAAGCTTCAAAGAAGACGTTCAAATTTTTTGTACACTAAAAAAATTTCCATGATACCGCTTTAGAAACCTACAAATAACCAAATCCGTATTTTTTGGAATTTCAAGTTTTTCACTCAAAATTTATTAACTTTAGAGAAAAATCTGTTAAGAAATTTGTTGTTCGTTTTGATCACAGCAGTACAAAAAAAATTTTTTTCTTACGAATTTATTGATTTTTTATAATTTGTTAGAAAAAAAAATGTTTAAACAAGTTCTGACCGCATTTCCACCTGGCGAACAGTACTTTCCCATACAGTAGCACATTTTAAACAAGATGGTGCAAAAAAATTGTAGGCAAATTGATTTTCCGTGTTGATTTTCCTCTCCTTCAGGTATACGCATTCATGGATGGTAGGTACAAAAACGACTAAGTAATTTAAGGTTGCGCTCTACGTTACCGTCAAGTCGGTAAGTCAACTACCTTGAATTTAACTGGCGCTCTATTCCGTAATCTGGCCAGTTAAAACAGCAGACGACGTGAAAGTCGAGAAAAAAGTGTGAAGATTTCATCGCTGTTGACTGTCGTCTGCTGTTTTTACTGGCCAGATTACGGAACAGAGCGCCAGTTAATTCAAGGTAGTTGACTTACCGACCTGACGGTAACGTAGAGCGCAACCTTAAATTACTTGCTGGTGACGATTGCGGAAAACACCCAATACCGTTCTTGCCAAGCAGCTAACGTTTATATGTCTCTTATTTAAAAGTGCACGCTTCAAGGTCAAATTTGAGCCCTGGTAAGTTACAAATAATGCACCAATAGCTGAGTAACACGTGATCAAATATCGCAAAAAACGTGTTTTTTTAAACTTGAGTAATTTTTTACTCGAAATTTATGGGGTTTAGGTATATGCATCACAATTGATTATTTTTTAGAAATGAGCCAAAGAATAAGGAGCAATTTTTTTTTCTCGAAAAAATTAATTTTTATAAATTGTTAAAGAAAAATTTGTTTAAACAACTTCTGACCACATTTCCGCCTGGAAAACTGTATTTCCCGATGCAGTAGCACGTTTTAAACAAGATGGTGCAAAAAAATTGCACGCTAATTAATTTTTCCGGTCGATTGCTGATTTCGCCCCGTCTATTAGTTTACCAACCCCTACCGTTGGCAACGTGCGAGAGAGACAGATATGCACGTTCGATGTTGTGTCTCTTTCTAATTGTGCTTCAATGTCTTACATCAGAACGAGCAATCTATTTTTTACATGTCTATGGGCCTAACAATGTATATATAAGTTCATTCAAATTTTCTGAAGGTTAAATTGAGCAAAAGTAAGAACGCGCTTGTACGATTGTAGCCTTGTAGTCACAACCAAACATGTCATTTGAGACTCCAGAGAAATTAATCTTTCAAACTGAATGGCACGATCGAGTCGCATCAACATTAAAACAGTTTTATTTGCATTTTTTTCCGTCAGACAGCAGTGTTGAACTTGTAAGCTAAACCTGGAAATTGTCTTAGTAACATTATTCTTTGCATTATTTATTATTATTATTTATATAATGTTATTATTTTATTCATCATCTAGATCGACTTTAATACAAAAAAAACATTTTTGAGACGGTCAAAATGTGATGGAGTGGTGATTAAAAACTTACACATAGGAGCTACTTTTACCATCTTTTCTCGAAGTTTGAAAATTGTAGGTTTTGCAGACAACAACACAAAACATATAATGTCGGTTATGTTGCTCAAGTAAGGAAATTCATTCATGAAACTTGAATTTTTTTTTGTATCATACGACCATGTGAAAAAAAATGAATGTTTTTTGCAGAACCATTATTTTACTTAGTACAGACGTAACTAAGTATCTAGGAGAAATTTTACAAATAATATCGGATCATAACTTTAGTATACATAATATCAAAATGGTCAAAGTCAGTCATGGGGAAGCCATGAAAATATTCCAGTTAGCTGACGATCAGATGTTGGTACTTTTTATTTTATCTAATTAATAGTTATGTTGAGTTAGGATTATTAAACACTGGGTCTATTCGCGCCAAATCTAAGTAAACACATGGATATATTGTACAAAGCGCGTGGTGGCTCAGTCGGCTAGGTCGTGGATTGGCACGCGGGAGACCGTGGTTCGATCCCCGGCCAGTGCGACTTATCGGGCAAGCACTTCTGTGATTTTTCACAAGTGCTTTTTCACCACGCAATGCTCCTCGAGGAGGGTTTAGGCGACCACCTCGCAGCAAAATTGCCTAATTTCTCCCTACCCCCCTCCCAGTAATGGGAAGCCTCCCATCCCTCTTCCCTTCCTTCTCCTAAGTGCTAAGTGCCCATAGTAGTGCCCTTATTAAAAGGGGCCGGACGTAGAGCACTATAATAAAAAAAAAAAAAAAAAAAGGATATATTGTACAGATAACACCTGAAGTGGAGTGGGGTTAGTATCACTATTAGTACCTTGAATATTACACTAATTTTATCTACATTTACATGGAAATAATAAGCTCTCTACATCGACGTATTTATGTGGACTTACTGCAAATAGACACGGTTAATTAAACTAATGTACGTCACTGGTGCTCCTTAAGTGAAAATTAGTACTCACTACGCAGGTGATCAGGTGATGTTCTTATCGAGCCCCAGGAGACGTAAAATTCTAAACACACCACGTTCAGTGGTTAAGAAATGCCCTAGATTTCACATAAACTGTTTTTAATGTAAAACCCAGGACATTCGTAACCTCGCTCACTAGGTGCGTAATGTACTAAAATGTAACTGAAATCCTTTTTAGGAACTCGAAATGGGTGACATGTGGTCCAATAGTAGCCTTGGAACTCATGAGCAAAGGAGATGAGTCCAAGCAGAATGTATTGTTATCAGCATTAGAAAAATACAATTTCAATAATATTCATGTGTTACAGAATGATGTGAGCATTCTAACTGTTGATACCTAAAACTTTTTATGAAATTGCTGTGTAATTAACACATTTTTTTTTCAATATTGAGATATCGCATTATGTACTGTCTTCTAAAAGAATGATAGTATACAGCCTCAAAAATTCAGCTGTATGTAAAAATTGCACTTGTTGTATTATTAAGCCTCATGCTGTTCAAGCTGGACTGATAGCACCAATAATTAATGACATACAGAAAGCTAATTTCAATATATCAGCAGTGCAAAATTTTTATGTTGATTTTAATGATGCTCAAGAATTTCTTGAAGTGTATAAAAGCATACTTCCTGATTATGCAGTAGGTTGTCACACATTTATTGGACACACCATTACATGTATATTTTATTGTAACAGATAATACTTCAAAAATTCTTTAGGCAATGGTTAGTGAACTGCAATCTGGGCCTTGTATAGCAATGGAAATAACTCATAATGATAAAAATGTTGATGTTGTTCAAGAATTCAGAAAACTGTGTGGACCAATGGATCCTGTAAATCAAATTTTATTGTTAATTTTTGCTGTCCTTTTTTTCATGTTGTAAATTTTCTTTAAAAAACTTTTTTTCTTTTATTTGTAGATTTAAGCTAAAACAGCAATTTTTTAGTATGAATAATTTATTTTAGGAAATGGCACGACAGTTGCGTTCTAAAACGTTGAGAGCCAAGTATGGTAAATCTAAAGTGCAAAATGCTGTACATTGTTCCGATCTTTCTCAAGATGGACTGCTAGAGGTACGATTTTACAAAAAATTTTCATAATTATATGCTTAATCTAACACTAATACAAAAAATTTTTTAGGTAGCGTATTTTTTTAAGATTCTGGATGGAAAATAACATTCACATCAAAATCAGTCCATGGTATTTAATTTTGAATAGTAGAAATTTAATGCGTGATATCTCACCATAACAAAAGATATAACACACTTTTGAATATTTGGTTGTGTATGAACTTACGAAGATATGAATAAAATATTGTTATTCAAGTAAAGATGGTTTTAAGGTGCTTTATTGTTAAGTTACTTCTAAATTGATTGTTGGATACCATCAAAATTTAGGTGAAAGTTAATACCAAATCTGGTGGATAACACCAAAACAAGGTAAGAGTTAAAGTGTTTTTGAACAATTTTATAAAGGGAGTTCTATCGGTTACAGAATTAACAATGAGAAACACAGAAATTTATCTAGGAATGAATTAAGTCATGAAAATGGTTCTGTCAAAATTTGAATGCATGAAGGTTCCTAGGGGCAGATTAATTAATATTTATATTTAGCTCATTTTTACATATTGGTTTATAAGCTATCGTCTTTTTTAACGCTTCTATTGCGTTAGGATGAGATTACATGGAGTCTGGCAGTCTGAAGACTGGCAGACTCTAGCTCCCATTACAGCCAGAGATTAGTAGGGAGATTGCTGACTGCCATGCTACAGAGTGTGCCCACTTTTTTCCAGTGGTTCGAGCGCCCCGCCGTGGCCAAGCGGCCGAACCAGAAGCACATTTTTTTTTTATTTGCGAAGCACGGTAGGGGTATGAGAAGAGTGGATTCGCATGGAAATGTCCATATAGGCGCACATTTTGGAGACGCTGTGGCGGCGCGACCGTCGCCCACCATCGCTGGAGATGACATCAGTCGGCGGAACGACGTACCAATCCGACAAACTGACCCTCGTGCCACCGTGCCACCGATCAATCCAGACGACGAAAGCAGGAGATCAAGCCCCGGCAGCAGCGTTGGGTTAGGCGGATTCAATATCGGAACTTTTTCCCTAGACCGTATATATAGCTATACGATCTAGGAAAAATGTTCCGTCGAGCAGACAGCACAGTAGTAAAGGGGCATTGCCAAAGACGCGCGAAAATTAAAAATTGTAATATTAATAACTCAAGTACCTATCACCCAATAACCTGGGGCGCTAACTGGCCACTCTGTTAAATAAATAATTTTTCATAACACAAGCGCCTATCACCCAATAACCCGGGGCGCTTACTGGCCATTTTGTTAAATAAATAATTATTAATAACACAAGCGCCTATCACCTAATGACCCGGGGTACTTACTGGCTACTATTGGGCCTAACAATGTANGAGTCATCGGCAGATAGGCGCTTGTGTTATTAATTAATAATTTTTTATTTAATAGTGTAGCCAGTAAGCACTATAGGTCATCGAGTAAAAGCCGCTTTTGTTATAAATTAATAATATATTATATGAAACAGTGGCCAATCAGCACCGTTGGTCATTGAATTATAGGCGCTAGCGTTATTATTAAATCATTTTTTTTGAACAGTGTGGCCAGTAAGCGCCCTGAAACATAGGGTCATAGGCACATGAGTTATTGATTGATAATTTATTATTTAATATTGTGGCCAATAAGCGCCCCGGGTCATCAGGTAAAAGGTGCTTGTGTTATTCATTAATAATTTATTATTTAATGAAGTGGCCAATAAGCGCCCAGAGTCATTAAGTGATGGAAGCTTGCGTTATTAATGTATAACTTTTTGATTAATAGTGTAGCCAGTAAGCGCCCCAGAAAATCAAGTGATAGCCGATTGTATTAGTAATTAATAATTTATTATTAAATTAAGAGGCCAATAAGTGACCTGAGTGATTAAGTGATAGGTGCTTGTGTTATTGATTAAAAAATTTTCGTTTAATATTGTGGCCAGTAAGCGCCTCGGGTAATCAGGTGATAGCTGATTATGTTATTAATTAACTATTTGTTATTTAATTGAGAAGCCAATAAGCGGCCCAGGTCATCGGATAGTAGGCACTTGTGCTATTAATTACAAATTTATTGTTCATTAGTGGCCAATAATCGGCTTGGGTGATCGGGTTATAGGTGCTTGTGTTATTCATTAATAATTTATGATTCAATAAAGTTACCATAAAGCGCCCTAAGTTATGGGTAATAGGCACTAGTGTTATAAATTAAGAATTTATATACATAGTGAGGCCGATCAACGCCCTAGGACATAGAGTGATAGGCGCTTAAGTTATTAAAAATTATTTATTTAACAGAGTGCCCAGTTAGCGCCCTGGGTCATTGGGTGATAGGCACTTGTGTTATTAATATTACAATTTTGAATTTCCGTGTGTCTTTGGCAATGCCCCTTCACTGCTGTGCTGTCTGCTCGACGGAACATTCTCTCTAGATCGTATAACTATGTATACGATCTAGGGAAAAAGTTCCGATATTGAATCCGCTTAACCCAACGCTGCCCGGCAGATATCCATGCTTGAGAGAAAGAAAGACAAAACATTCAAGAAATCCCAACCGGTCACGCTACAACGACGTGGCGAATCGAAGCTCTCTCGGCTCTCGTTTCTCGACCGGTGAACACCTAAAGACAATATTGACTAATTCATAACAGTGTTTCACCCAACTAGTGTATATGTGTGTGAGAGAGGCCATAGTGCCAAGAGCCATATATTGTAAAAAGCTGTGAATAAAAATCGTAAATGTTCGTCAGTGGTCTTTACTGCCTCTAACCTTTACCTAAGCAACAATACCTACCACAGTGGTGACCCCGATTGTGTTCTCGACTTTTCTATCAGCTCGCGCGTTTGTCTTTTGTGTAAAGTCACCGACAAACGGTCATACCTCCAGTGACCATAACGAGTCGCGAGTAAAATTTCGGGATACGCGCAATAACACAAAACGAAGCGTGCAATAACACCATCTCTGCCCTTTGAGGGCAAACGATTCCGTCAAATCAGCGAAACACGTAACGCGAAATCTCCAGTGGAGCAGTCAGCAAGCATCATGAATGTTGACAACCACCCTCCAAGAACGCAGGAGGAATTCATGCAGGCGATGGCCCACTTGCAACATAAAATGCAGCACATTAAGCAAGATCAAGCGGCAGCTCGGGGACCTGGTTTGGAACATGTGGCTGCGGTAAGCAGAATATCTTTGCCGCCCTTTTGTAAGGAAAACCCCGCATTCTGGTTCGCCAAGATTGAGGCAGCTTTCGACATCAATCGAATAACCAGCGACTCAACCAAGCTCAAACACGTCGTCCTCAACCTAGACTCTGCCGCGGAACCATTTGTCAGTGACCTAATAACAAATCCCTCGGAACACGACAAATACGCTGCAATAAAAAGTAGGATGCTCAGTATGCTGGCCGAAACAAGTGAGTCGAAAATGAGAAAGCTCCTTCGAGGCGCGCACATAACAGATCAGCGTCCTACCCATCTGCTGCAAAACATAAGATCCCTGGCCGAGGGCCAGTCCAACGATTCAATTTTGCGTACACTTTTCCTTGACTACCTGCCAGAGCAAGTACGAACGCACCTACTCATTAGTGAAACGACGGATCTCAACAAACTTGCACAACAAGCGGATAAAATCACCGACATTATAGGCCTCACAAGGAGAGATATTTACGCGGTAGAGGACGAACATTCACGCACACACACAGGCAGCAGCTCAGGTACCAACGTAAACACGGAGCTGAAAGACCTCAAAGAGTTGGTAAGACAACTATCAAAACAAGTCGAGCAGCTCTGCAGGTCGCAGGAACAAAACAAAAGCCGGGCGCGTTCACGCTCACGAACGAGGGGCGAGCAACAAGAAAAACAAGAAAGCAACGACACAGATCGTGGCCTTTGTTTCTTTCATAAGAAGTTCGGAGACAAGGCATATAGATGTAACTCACCGTGCGCGATGAAAAACTCGCTGTCGGAAAACTAACCTCGCTGTGCTCGACGGAGGCATCAAGCAACAGCCAAGTTGAACGCCGCCTCCTAATGACTGACGGACTTTCTGGTCGCAAAGTGCTATTCGACACCGGCTCAACAGTATCTATGATATCAAAAGATTTTTATAAAGAACATTTGAGGCCCACGCCCACCAACTTATATGCGGCGAACTCTAGTATCATCTCATATAGTCATCATACATACATATGGGCACTGGCTCATAACTTTAAACCTTGGACTGAGGCGCGTTTTTAAATGGCTCTTCCTTATAGCTGACGTTGACCAAATAATAGTGGAAGCTGACTTCCTGGCGCATTACGGTTTGCTGCCTGACCTAAGGAATAGACGCCTGCTCAATCCACTCACAAACCTACACTCACGAGGATGGGTATCGCCGGCGTGGCTGCATAGCATATCAACGGTGGACACTACGGTCAACGCACACAGCCCATTCGCAAGGCTCCTGGAGGAGTTCCTGGATGTAATTATTCCGACAGTAAAATATAAGCCCGTCGCTGAAACGATGGTGGCGCATCACATCGTGACTGACGGACCGCCTGTCGCGGAGCGTCCCTGCAAGCTATCAGGTGAGAAATTGCAGGCGCCCAAGGACGCAATCAGCTACATGCTCGAGAAGGGTATAATTCGCCCCTCACGCAGTCCCTGGGCCAGCCCACTCCACCTTCAAAAAAAGAAAACAGAAGACAGGAGACCTTGTGGCAACTACCGCAAGCTGAACGCCAAGACGACGCCAGACAGATACTCCCCACCGCTCATCCAAGATCTTTTCCCGAGACTGCGAGGCAGGTGCATATTCTCCGTGCTGGACCTGGCCAAGGCCTACTACCAAATACCTATGGCTGCGGAGGACATACAAAAAACGGCAATGACGACTCCGTTCGGCCTATACGAATTTCTGGTAATGCCTTTTGGTTTGAAGAGTGCAACACAAACCTTCCAACGATTCATCGATGGCGTCTTTCGGGACCTGTAGTACGTTTTCTGCTACATCGATGACATACTCATATTTTCAGAGAGCCCGGAGCCGCATGAGAAACACCTCAGAACGGTCTTCGAGCGACTCCGGCAGTACGGTTTGACCATAAACGCGGACAAGTGCGTCCTGGGAAGCCGGAAGGTAACTTTCCTCAGTTACGAGATTTCATCGGAGGGCTACAGGCCCACATCTGAGCGTGTGCAGGCAATACTAAAATATCCACGCCCCGCCACGATTCAGGAGCTGAGAAGATTCCTTGGCATGGTTAACTATTATAGGACATGCCTTCCTGGCGCGGCGCATCTCCAGGCCTCATTGAATGCCCCATTGAATGCCTCAAGGGAGCGCGCAAAAACGACAAAAGAGTGGTCCAGTGGAACCAGACGGCGGCTGACGCATTCGCTAGACTGAGGGACCTGATTGCTGACACGACCCGGCTCACTTACCCATCGGCCACCGCAACCACGGCTCTCATCACGGACGCCTCTGACACGGCTATGGGAGCCACACTCGAGCAGCAACTGGAAGAAGTTTTTTTCCAGAAAACTGAGTCCAGCAGAAGCAAACAACTGCACATATGACAAGGAACTCCTGGCCATCTACTCAGCTATAAGGCATTTTCAACATCACTTAGTGTCGACAGTTTGTAGTTAAAACTGACCACAAACCTTTAACCTATGCCTTTGCACAGAAACTGGAAAAGGCATCACCGAGGCGATTAAGACATCTCGATTTCATCGCGCATTTCACAACAGAAATAATTTACGTAAAAGGCGAAGAAAACACAGTAGCAGATGCCCTCTCGCGCATAAGCGCAATCGACATGCCTACAATACTAAGTGCCCAAACCATCAGTGAAGCTCAAGATGAAGACGATACACTTGAAGAGGCCAGGCAGAACTGCTCCTTAAATTTACAGAGACTCACTATCGAAGGAAAGAATCTGCTCTGCGACGTCAGCAACAACATTGTGAGGCCATACTTACCTCCAAGGCTCAGACGTGTGGCTTTTAACTCGGTCCATGGCTTGTCTCACCCCAGCATCCGGTCCACGACAGAGAACCTCAAAGAAAAGTACGTCTGGCCCGGAATAAAAAAAGACGCTGTAACTTGGGCGAAGCAGTGTGTACCATGCCAACGGGCGAAAATCCAGCGACACAACCGGCTTATTCCCCAACACCTAGAGGTCCCCGGCACGCGTTTTGCCCACATTCACCTGGACCTAATAATTCTGCCGCCTGATGACGGTCACAGATATTGCCCAACAATAATCGATCGATTTAGTCGCTGGCCTGTGGCAATGCCACTCAGAGAGACGACAACTGAAACAATAGCCCACAGTCTCTTCACGCACTGGATCAGCCACTACGGGAGCCCACTCACAATCACGACGGACCAGGGCCCGCAATTTGAGTCGCGCCTTTTCGCGGCACTGGCCAAATTCATCGGCGCGGACAGGGTCCGCACATCACCCTACCATCCAGCATCAAACGGCCTAGTCGAGAGGTGGCACCGCACTCTCAAGGCGGCTCTGATGTGTAGGCCTGATGTCCCCTGGACGCTCTTGCTTCCATCCGTGCTGTTGGGACTACGTACAGCCTATAAAGAAGACCTAAAGGCCTCACCGGCTGAGATGCTGTACGGAGAGACGCTACGCATACCGAGCGAATTTTTTGTGCACCAGACGGGGGGTGCTGATTCCAGCGGGTTCATCGAGCGGCATAGAAGCATGATGAGAGGTATCAGGCCGATACCCACAGCGCACCACTCCAAAACACACCCGTTCCGGCACAAGGGCATGGATGTGTGTACGCACGTCTTCGTGCGATGTGATCGTGTTAAGGCGCCCCTGGAACCCCCATACCAGGGTCCCTACAAGATTACTAAACGCATCAATGACAGGTTGTACCAGGTTGACATTGATGGAAAGGCAGCGAACATTGCTGTGGAGCGCCTAAAGCCTGCACATCAGGCCGTCGAGAATGAGCCACCGCCTCAGCATAATCTCCCGCAGCAGGACCCGCAAGCCCACTGGAACCGGCAGGAGCAACTCCGGACGCCCGCACCACCGATCGATCGGCCCCAACGCCGTGGCTCAGTTGTATTTGCCACCCCGACAAATGCTTTAGGGAAAGGAGTGGATGTGGCGGCGCGACCGTCGCCCTCCATCGCTGGAGGTGACATCAGTCGGCGGAACGACGTACCAATCCGACCAACTGACCCTCGTGCCACCGATCAATCCAGACGACGAAAGCAGGAGATCAAGCCCCGGCAGATATCCATGCTTGAGAGAAAGAAAGACAAAACATTCAAGAAAGCCCAACCGGTCATGCTACAACGACGTGGCGAATCGGAGCTCTCTCGGCTCTCGTCTCTCGACCGGTGAACACCAGAGATTAGTTGGGAGATTGCTGACGGCCATGCTACGGAGTGTGCCCACTTTTTTCCAGTGGTTCGAGCGCCCCGCCGCGGCCAAGCGGCCAAACCAGGCGCACATTTTTTTTTTATTTGAGCAGCACGGTAGGGGTATGAGAAGAGTGGATTCGCGTGAAAATGTCCATGTAGGCGCACATTTTGGAGACGCGTGGAAGGGGTATACCGAATGTGCGCCTACGAGGAGAGGAGTGGAAATGTCGGCTATATAGCTGTATATATCTGAACGCACAGCCAAAGCAAGCGACGATACGAGTTTTTCTTTTTTGAGAGTCTTTGGACTCTGCAACTGAGTACATGCTATATGTATATATTTAACTGACTTGCTCTCGCTCTGGCTTCAATGTTATCCATAAATCTTATTTAATTAAATCGTGGAACTAAATGCTCATTAATTATATACACAGAATTTTGATTTCAATACATTATGTTTTAACTCTCCCGTACTCTTAAAATTCCCAAATCCATTTATGTTTTCAAAAAATTAACCATTAATTTATTAATTTCACACATCCTAACTTCTGTAAACTGTAGGACAAGCTCCGGAGGATATCCATGAACATATGTGACTTCGAAAGAGGTACTTCTCGTCCTTCGGATAGCTAAGATGATCAAGGCTTATGCCCCTTCAGAGATTGTTTTGCACTCAAGGGTTCAAATCCACTTCATGGTAGATATTTTTTTTTTTTTTTTTTATTCAATGTATCATTTTGTCTTTATTTCTTTTATTTATGTTTCGTTAATATATATATACATATATATGTAGTCAACATTTTTTTTCGGATAGATCAAAAAAAATTAAATTAATATTGTTACTTTGATACAAGGCAATTCTATAATTTTATGATACTAAAATAACTTTTAAGGATTTTAACATAATTTGTGTATTTTAAAACTCCTAAGAAATTGTGAACATCCTATTTACGAAAAAAAAAGCCGCCCGTTTACTGCTATTTACTTAATGTTGAAATTTTAATCAGTAAATGAATTTGATGAACACAATATAAAATAGTTTTGTAAATATTTTTAAATTGTTTGCAAATCTTTAATAAGGTGTGCTTTTTTTATTTATTTTTAGACAGCCAGAAGAACAATAATGAATAAAACAGTTCGATGAATAAGTAATAAAATTTATTCGGCAAGATTCTGAGACCAAACATTTTTTATAATACCGCAGTATTTTGTTAAAAACAAAAAAAAAAAAAATTGAATTACCTTTAAGGGTGATGATTGTAATAAACAAATTTTTAGGCTGTAGATTATAAAGGAACTTTAATCATTTATATTGAATGCAGGAAAAGCATCGTAATACTTTTAACAATGATACAATCGGGTGAGTGCAAGAAAGAGTCTTTTTAGAGTAAAAGTCAAGAAAGAGCCTTTTTAAATTTTCGGGCAGAATAAAGTCCTCTTAAACTAAAAGAAAAAGCCTTTTTATACAGAGGTACACTCGCACTGAGGTGTTGGCGTCGATTGGTATGATTGAGCCCAACGAATCATCGCTCAAGATTATTCTTCGACATTTTTGAGTTCTTATTTGCTCCTCACCCAGCTCTCGGTTG